TTTCATATATGATTTTTATATTTTGCCCTTTTTTAACTTTTCCAAACTTCTCATGACTATCTTCAGTTTGAAATATTGTTTAAATCGAATCCATCCCTCAATCAAAATACATAATGGATTGTGGCCTTTATTCAATTATTTAACCATATTTTTAAGATCAAAGAATCCTTAAAATTAAAGTCTCAATTTGTTTCTCCGTTGATGCTAAGGAGCTGGTGAGAAAAAATGAAATGAACAGTGTCATGCATATTTCACTCTAGAATATAGTTGATAGACTTGAGGTCGACTATAATTTTTGCAAGGAAAAATCACAAAAAAAAAACTGTGGAAATTGAAAAATTACATACAGGAACCCATTCAAAAAAATTGTTATCATTTGCTTATCAATTGTTATCAGAACCCATAATAATATTGCAATTAGGTCTCTATTTGCAGTTTTTCTATTTCCATTTTTTTTTTTCTGATTTTGCCTTTTTGCAATCATCAAGAGAAATACGTAATCATGAAGTGCGAAATGAGTTGTATAACAGAATAGGCCAGTGAATTCTCAAGGCTAAGGTATTTTCACTGCCGTATTATCTCTCCAAGAAAAGAGATTTTTGCAACCAGATCATTTACATTAATTAGCTACTTCCTCTGGTCCTAAATATATGGGTTAGATAATTAATTTATAAAAATTAAAACAAATTAGTTATTTATGAAAAATATTTTTTAATTTTATTAAAATACGTGTTTAATCATTCTCATTGAAATTACTTATACTGAGGAAACCCACTTTAAATATTGACTTATAAATTGAAGGACAAAGTGAATTAGATCTTCTATCTAGGAAAACGAATCATTCAACTAACTCTTACATTTATGATCACAAGGGAGTATGACAAACTCTGTAACATTCTGAGTTTTTATCGGGTTTTAATAACCTCTTTTGGTTTATTTTTGAGGATAGATTAGTGATTTAATGTTGACCTTGGTGTTTGGGTTGGATTTGAGGTATGTTGGAGGAATAGGTGAACGTACCTCTCTCAGGGTATGTTTGCCGCGGCGAAGTAAAACTTCGCCGCGGCGCACCGGGAGTTCCAGGGGAGAGTATCCTTTCGGGAATGTTTCGCCGCGGCGAAGGTGAGGGCATGCCACGGCCAAGTTTTTCTAGGTGAGCGAGAGTTTCCTTTCGGGAAGCTTTCGCCGCGGTGAAGATTGGAGTTTGCCGCGGTGAAGTTGGGTTTTCAGGGGAGTAATCCCTCTCGGGATTAGTTCGCCGCGGCGAAGATATGGGTTCGTCGCGGCGAAAGGTGTCGAATCTATATAGTTGTGCGAAAATTAGAAAATCTGAAAGAGGAGAGAGGAGCTCTGCTAGGGTTTCGGTGTTGAGGCTTGGGAAAGACATTTATAAGGATCCACTACCTCAAGTAAGTGATTTTAACCTCTAATCTACTCTCTTTCTTGGAATTTCTGAGGATTTTTGGTGAAACCCTAGAGTTTTCTAGGTTGTGATGGAATTGAGATTTTTGATCGATTGTTTTGAGTTTAATTGATTGCTTTGGGTTAATCTAAGTATTTAATCGGTGTAGTTTTCTTAGATTTGAAGAACATTGAGTTTTTGAAGCTAGGGTTTATGGAAATAGGAGGTTAGTGATTGAGGATGATAATGTAGAGGTTGATTCTGAGTTTTGTGAATTGGGTTATGTTAAGGAGAGTTAAATTGGATGTTTAATCGGTTTAGATTGTTGTTAAGACTTCAATTGTTCAAATGGGATGTTGGAGGTTGAATTCCTACAGTGGGTCCTTGAGGTTTGAACTCTAATTGATGCTTGAAAAGGGGACTTGATGTTTTAATAGACTTTTATGACTTTGGAGTGTTGTTTTGATGGGTATACCCTTTGAGTTGGGTAGAGTTTTGATTGGAGCTAGGAATTTTGTGTCCCCAAATGTTGTTTTGGCCACATTATTAGTTTGAAAGCTAATACATGATGGTTGTGTGTTTGTGTGCTTGTGTAGACCGATTGTGAGTCTTGTTGGTGCACGGGGCCACATTGTTGGTTTGTTATTTCTTGCTCAGGCGAGAGGTAACCACTTTCCAATCCTTAGTACTTGCTTCTGTGGTATTGTGAGTAGATTTATGTTTTGTGCTCTGAGTAACAATTATATTCAAATTGTATGTTGTATATATAAAAAGGAAAACCGTCTTGTGGGGTTTCGATTGATAATGAATAAATCTTGGAATTGTGAAAGATATGCCACTGAAAGAAATTAATTATGAAATGTTCAATTACTATTTGATTATGGGTTGAGCATGATGCATGAATTGGGAATTGGTGAGAGTTTTTGATAGTTACTACCACGTGATAAGGCCTCCATTAATGTATGATGGTTGGCTTTTTACGTCCCCCATAATGAGGGATAGGCCTTTTGGCTCCCTACGTCCCACAGAGTGAGGGATAGGCCTTTTATGGCTCCTTACGTCCCCCATAGTGAGGGATAGGCCGGGTTTGGCTCTTGAAAATCCCCCAAAGTGAGGGATATAGTTGATGGGTTTGCATCATTGCACCTGCATTATTTGTTGTGGCTATCATTTATAATATGACTTGTGAACTGCCCCACTTGACACCTTACGAGCACCTATTAGTAGTACCTTGAATTGGAAAAGTTGGTTACTGGGACGTTTGTCTCACCCCGTGGTTTACAATGTTTTCAAGCGAAGGTTCTAGGTGTGCACCTTCGGGAAGAGATGCAGAGGCTTGAGCTTGGTTAGCTTTAGGCCTCTAGCCTTTGTATATGTATGGCTAGTGTATATATATTGCCACATTTAGGATCTTTTGAGATATTTTGATTGTTGATCTTATTGTAAATTGGAGAATATGTTATCTCCTCGTTTTAGTTGGCCGGAGGCCATTTCTATTATTTTATGAAACTTTGTTACATGGTTGAAAACTAATTGGATGGGCTGATTTTGATGTATGTTGTTACCCGGGCCGGAGGCTCGGAGGTCCAGTGGACATGAATGAATGATTTTAGTTGCATGCAATGGAGTTTGGGTTTGACCCGAGTTTGAAAGTCAATTTCAAAAAAAAAATGTGCAAGTTTCTTTCTACTATGGTAGTTCATTTTAACAAATTTCCTTTTCTACCATAGTAGTGGTTCTATGACGAGTTATAATGTTTTGGGGTAAGGGTTTTACAAACTCAATTATTTTTATATGTTTTGATATCTTTTGCATGGGTTTTGTCAACTTAATTAATCTTTTTAGCCTTAATTGATTAATTGATTTAATATGTTTTATTTTGAATTATCATTTTATAGTGGTAAAATTGTCATATTTTGATTTAATTGTGAGTAATTGATTTTTAAGGACAATTAATTCACCTTATTTTTGAATTTGTGATTACAGGTTTTTGGAAGATTTAAAAATAAAAAAAAATTAAATACATAAATAAATGAATAAATAAAATAATAATAATAATAAAAACGGGGAGCAAAACGCAACGTTTTGCCCCCTCAACCCTGACACGCGCTACACATCATCATCATCTTGAGCGAAGGACCGAAAAAACAGCGAACCAGCAGCGGTGAGCAGAGGCACGCGAGGGGCGTTTGACGGCAGAATCAGAGCGAACCAGAGGCGAGGAGGAGGACCAGTGGAGTCGACGGCGAGAGGAGAATCACCTGTCATCGTTCTCGTCTTCATCTTCTTCTTCTCCTCCATCTGGAATCAAGAGGAGGCGCTCGACGGCGAATACAGCAGGAGGCAGACAGGAACTCGACGGAAGGCAGAGAAACACGAGAGAGAAGGAGGCTTGGGAGACAGAATCATTCTTCCCTCAATTCCATCATCACCAGCGTCTTCTTCTTCTCGGTCTGACGGCGAGAAGGGCAGCGAGAGGGAGCGACGGCGTGACAGAACGAAGGACCAGATAACAGTGAGCTTCCACAACCGAAACACATCCTTCAGCATTCATCTTCACTGTTCTTCATGGCTGAATCGGATTGGAGCTTGGTTGGAGCTGTTGTGATGGTCAGGTGTTGCTAATCCTCCAATTCTATGTAGCAATGTTTATGGCTTGAACTCAGAGCTTCAAAAGAGAGTTTTAACTCTTCTAATCTTTACTTCTTTCATTGTAATTGTGATTTCTAGATCTTAGAATGAATTTTATAATATTTGAGTATGTCTGAGTGTGCTGTAATGATTTATATTTATATTAAGATTGGTTGTAGTCGTTGGAATTTTTTATTAGCATTTGATATTATGTTGTGATTAACTTTAATTTCTTTACATTGTATTGGGTCAGACTATGTTTAGAAGTTGTTGTGAACATTTAGTAATAATTCAAGGTGGCTTGCGTATTGAACAAAAAATATTAATTGCTTTTTTTTTATTCTCTTTAGCTAATTGTGCTGAAACAGTTTAATTGTGAGTAATTAATATATAAGGTGGTTTAGTATTGATTATTTTAATTAAACCGAGTCTAAAGAGTGGCCTTTAGAATCTTTTAAATTTAGCTAATCTCAAATTAATTGAAGTAATGATAGCCTGAATTATTATACTAGATGATTGCTTTTCCATTTGCTGTCACTTGTTAATTCTCTTTGTTTATTTCATTCATATCCATTTTATAAACTAAAAATCCAAAAATTATTTACTCATTTTACATCCTTTTAAATTTTGTCAATTAGTTAGTTAAAAAACAAAACCAATCCCTTTCCAAGTCAATTCTTTATTTTTGATACTTAGTTTGCTTAGGATTTCAAATAAAGGCTCCTCAAAGTGAAACGACTCGAGTTTTACACTATATTGTATTGCTTGGATTTATTTTTTATCAAGAACCTCAAGGTGAATGACAAAAGCTCTCCACAAACTCTTGCGCATGTGTCTATACATGGATTGCTCTATAGATAGAGTGGTGATATGACAAATATATATATATATATATATATATATATATAGCTAGTATAGAGTTCTCATCAAGCATTCACAAGGTATAAACTAAAGTACAAATATAAACTAAAGTACAAATTATAAATTTACAAAAATTTAGAGAGGAATTAACACTACCATATTGAAAAGGAGATTTCCTTATTAACTCTCAAGACTCACGTACACTACATAAATACACAATAATTAATTACTAGAAGAGAGATACACCACTTGGAAATGGCAAATACTTGTTTACAGTCACTTATTTTCCTAGTAAAGCATATGTGTACTAGGACGAAAAAGACTCCTACAAAAGTAGGTCCAATAAAGTATATCAGACCACAGTGGGAATAGTAGAAATGCAAATAAGGGTATGGGTATAAAAGCAAGTGCAGAAATGAAGTTAGGAACCCACTTTGAACCATGACAATACATGATGAAAAAGGCACTACTAAATGCTGTCATCATGCTTATTATAGAGATGAACAAAGCAACCAATCCAGATATGAGCTTCAAGGGCAATGACTTGCGAAAATCCTCTTCTGCATAGCGTGAGATGAGGATGGACAAGAAAATAAGTATGGAAGTTGAGGATGAGATCATTGCAGCTGCATCAGATATGGCAAATATTAGGAATGATGATTTTTGCAAGTAATTAGGATTTCCTGAATTGTCGTTGATACCACCAGGTATACTAAATGCAGCTGTAAATACTCCAGTAGTAATAAGAGTGGAAACAACCATGCATTGTTCTGCTCTTTTCTTCAACCATGATTCTGCTTCTTTTAGCAAGTCTTTGTGCTCCTTTGTGAACAGTTGGCGAGGAGTTAAGTCTTCTGCATTCTTCTTCTCTATACATGATGGTAGCATTATCTTCTCCACCTCCTACCATGTCAAAAAGGATGTATACTATATGAACTATATAAAATTTACAACAAAGGACACTATTCACAAGCCCCAACTTATTCCCCTACAATATACAAGATGCATCAAGTAATAAGAACATATGTGTAAGTCATAGAGATAGACTAAATATTATTTATAGCAAATACCTCAAACCAAAGTAACTCAAAGGTCATTTGAAAAGCTGCTCCAGAAATCAAGTTTAATCGATCTAGTGGTGCCAATCTTGCAGCCATATGCAATAAGTTGTCTCCGTATTCATTATCTACAAAAGGCACTATAAAATCTTTGACCGAGCCAATGTCATGTATGAGATCGAAGATATCGGCATAACGATGTAAAACTGCAACATGAATTATGCTTCGATTTCTTGCGTCAACTTCCCATATCAAATCAGGATAGGTACTCATAAGTTCAGCTAGAAACTCAAAATTTCCAACTTTTACAGCATTAAATGTTACTTGTGAAGGTACTTTTATGTTGTCCATAATCATTTGGTCATCTTTTGTAAGGAATATGCTCCACAAATGCTTTACTAGTTGAAGTTGCTGAGTTTGCCTCAAACCTGTGAAACGCAGTTTATACGTACCGTAAAACCACTGTATCATAATTATATTTTTCTTAATTTGTGATCATGGGCACTTACATGATTTCATGAGCCGCTTTCTATATCGCTGACTTTGACAAAGAGAGCTTAAAGGCTTTCGAGCCAATATATGCAATATTGTCTCATTACTTGCACTATCCCTCTCAAAAGCAAGTTCTGGATCCACTTTTAGCACCTTCAAAGCTAAATCTGCGCAAATCAATACATAAAATAATGTTTAACACAAGGTATATGTGACACACCCACACACTTCAAAGTTCACTCTCGCCATCTTTTACGGTCTCATGTTTTGTTCGTGCAATATTATTACCGTAGATTCCACTGTAGACACAGTAGAACAGTAGTAGTGTCCAATCACGATATTCAAAAATGCGAATAGTTTCATGGTAAAGATGCCAAGCCATTTCACTTCTTCCTTGTAAAGCAGCCACATGAAGAGGAGTGGTTCCATGAGCACCCCTTATGAACGGCAAGCTCTGGTTTTTTCTCTTCATGATCTCAACAATCTGCATGTTCCCAGTTGCTGCAGCGAGGCTGAATGCAGTGTTGTCATTCGCATCTTGCAATTCCAAGTCCTCTGAACTCATCCCCTTCACTAGCTCATCCACAAAGTGGACATGGTTCTTTTCGCCGGCCACATGAAGCACCGTGGCCCACCCCTTGCTTATGGCGGCGCGAGCCAGGCCCCAGTCTTTATCTAAGATATGCTTTGCTGCTTTCCAATCCCCTTTCACTGAAGCTTGGTAAAGGGGAACACAAAAGCTTAGGTATTTATCTCTTCGCTCTTCTGAAACAAGTTAGTTAATGGAAACTTTGTTATATATTTATGTAGATTGTAATATAAATAGAAACACACTAGAGAGAGAGAGAGATGAGATAAGAGATACTACGCGTGGGATCTATAAGATTAAGGTTAGGCCTCCTAAACTGAGCTGAAGCAACCCTCTGAAGTCGTTGTACTGGTATAGTCACAGAACTTACATCTGCTCCGGCCATGTGTCTGTCACGAAAGCGCAGTATTTGTGTTAGTTTGTCTCTATGATTTGAAGCCTGGAGGATAAATTTGGGTATGTTATGCATGGAGCTGGCTACGGCATGTGAGGAACAAAACTCTTTTTTGCTGCTCAAGGATTGGTTAATGAAGTTCTGGCTCTGCTACGGCACTCACAAAGGGCGCTCATGAGTTAACCGAGCTCTTGAACCATAAAGCAGACAACTACTTCTCTTCTGTTTATCGCATAGATGATGCTGCAGCATGCTAATTCTTTTGAATAACAAAATCATACCCTTTACTCACAGACACATACACACACGCATATATATATATATATATATGTATATTCGTATCTTTGAATATATATAACTAAAAATATTTTAAATTTATCAAGTAGGAGCTTCTTAAAATTGAAAATTATTTATTAGAACGTAGTAAAAAGGTAATTAAAGTAATATTTTTGAAAAATATCCACTAAAAATAATAATATTTAATATTTAATTTGACCTCACATAAACTGTGTGCATATTATTTTTAAGGAGAATTACAATGAGGTCCCAAAAAAAATAATTATAAAATAAGTCTCAAAAGTTGTCATTTTCAACTATTTAAGTCGTTATTGAGATTTTAATTTTTAGTAATCTTTTTTCTTCTTTAGAACTTTATTGTAATTCTCCCTTATTTTTATTTTGGAGCAAATGTCAGAAAAGAGTATGCCTCCATGAGCCAAGCAATTGTTATGGCATGATGTCATCACGCGAAGGTCATGCAATCCTAAGAAGGCGCGGTCTCCTCACTTTTCATTTGGAAAAACAAACCAAACAAAAGCGAATGTACTGGGAAAGCAAAGTTGTGGGCGTGCTGTCTAAAATGAAAAAAAAAAAATACTACCTCCGTTATTTCATAATATTTAATAGATTAATAAAAGTAGTTAAATTAATTATTTGTTTAAAATATGGATTGGCTTTTTTAAAAATATTCTCTTAAATTATTGGGATTAAAATTACCTTTGACACAAACTCTCCTTGACACATGCAATTAGTAGGTTAGTTTGATTAAATAATAAGGATAAAATAGATCAAGATCTTATATTTAAGACGAAACCAGTTTGGGTACTTATCAAAGTGATGAGCACCTAAAGCTCATCAAATCTAGACTATCTAGATCTGAATTTCACGGTCTAGATTTGATTTTTTTTGTTTTTATTTGTTTAAAATAATTATTTAATCGGTATAGAATTTAAAATAAAGATAATATCTTAACTGTCATTTTTTTCAAAAAATAATTTTTAATTAAAAATAATTAATTAAAAATCTTAAATTTGAAAAGGAGCATCCTAACTGGTTTCTGTTGAGGACTAAATTTAACACTCCTACTAACTCTTATATTAGTGACAGGAGGTAGTATTTTATATTAAGATGAAATTAATCAAAACTTGTGAAAACAACGGAAGGAGACTGGAAGAGAGTATATACATATAGACAGAAACTGATTCAGAGGTTGGAGCTTCTTTTTCAGACTCTCTAAATTATCAACATAAGCGGGAAGAAAGAATGAAGACGACTATGATAATATAGTAAATTTAGTGTGGATCCGGTTTGTGGGCAAGCATAAGCAAAAACTCCTTTGTTTCTCTTGTGATTCAACCTTGAATGAGCTCGCCATTTAATTCCCAGATTCTATATATAACTAAACATAACCACAACATCAACGTGGTTTGGGTCTGGTAGAAAGAGTTAGTTCCTGATAATAGGATGAATCAAGGTTTGAATCTAGTGCCCACGTTTATTACCCAATAGTACTTTGAACAGGATTGTTTCCTATTTAGAGGATACCTGTGCTTATTTAAAAATAAAAAAAAACACAACCACAAACCAGAACACAGATTCATTAAACATCAAACCTTTATCCCCCCCCCAAAAAAAAAAGAAGACAAAAACTAGCCAACCTATCAAGATGAATATATAGACTCTCAAATTTAAAAGCAACTTCAGAAAGGCTCAAGAGTTTTTGATCTCTCACTTTCTTCTAATTGGACTGAGTTAAAATAACAGTAATTAAAAAGAGAAAAACAAGATTTACAGAAAGAGAGAGATCAAGTAAGAACTAAGAAGAGGATATGAATGAGAGAGAGATTTGAACAAATTACCTGAAAGTAGAGTATAGGGGTGGATCTGAAGGCGGCGAGGATCAACTCTAACGGTCCAAGGAAGGTGGAAGCAAATAAACATTAGAACCTATCATCAGAGCTACACAAACCAACGCAACTCATCATAGTCAAGTCTACCACCAAGTGTCAAATTATTATTATAGTACAGCGCCACAATCGTACGGTCTGTTTTATTCCTGCATATAACGACTTTATGACAAAAAACAGTATTAAATACTCCTGCCGTCAAGCTATTTAGAGAGTTAATATCGGTCTTATATATAAGACCTATTTCATATGTTTATCAATTTTTTTCTAAATTAATCTTATTGATATTTTCCCAACAATAATCAAATATGAGAGGGAAGGAAAGAATTAAGGAATATGTTTAGAATGTTCTAAAAAATATATATCACATTAACTAACTTAACTGACATTATTAATCTACTCAAATTAGTTAATTAGATCTTATATCAAAGACCGAAAGAGTATCTTTTTGCTTTTATCCTTATTAATTAAACCAAACGCTTGGTGGTTATTAAATATCATTTCTCTTGCACAAAAATTAGCCGCGCATGTAGTTTGTGCGGACATCAAAATTCAAAATATAATTTACACGATTGTTAGGGTTTCATATTATAGGGTAGTGTTAATTCATCTCTAAGTTACACCTATACCCTTATTTGCGTTCCTGCTTTATTTCATCTCTGCCCTGCTATATGGTTTATTCTACTCACTTTTGTAGGAACCTTTTGGCCTTTCTTCGTAAAATTATAATTTGTACTTTAGTTTATACTCTATGAATGCATACTTGATGAGACCTCTATGCAAGCTATATACTCTTTTAGTTATTTCTCAACCCATTTGTTGGGTGTTCTGGCTGCTTCTCTCCCCTCCTCTTTTTCTCTTTTGTGGTGCATTTGCTGTGTCACCATAGGTTTAGGCTTTAGTAGTCTAACCTCTGCATGGTGCACCAATAATAAGAGAGCACTCGTAACCCGAACCAAATCCGGAGCAGGTAAGTCTCTTTGCCCGCTCTTTATTATCTCACACTGTGAATGCTTATGAGAACTCTATGCTAGCTTTACAATTGGGACATAGCCAAAATCGTCTATAGAAGAAAATATGTGTAATAAAAAGTAAATCCTTCCACAAATCGTACAAGACATGGAAGTAAAATGCAGCGAAGCTTCAGAAAAGGCATGGGAAAAGACAGATGCGGGTAGGGCCTGCTTTCACTCCCTTCTTTGGAGTATGTTATACTTCAGCCGTGTTCCTCCGATAACCATCCCAAAGTTTATGATTAAAAATTAGCCATCACAAAGTCTTCATGCAATTAAGCATCTTTACGTTATTAATGTAAGATTCTTTCTATTATTTTTCATATAACACATACATTTCATTTCTTAAAATTTTTTTTTTCCATCTCTTAAATAAGTCACATGGATTCAAATCATTTTATTTTCAGTGGTAGAAAAATTCATAAATTTGGGTGTATTTTTTGTTGGGACTTTTTAATCCAATTGATGCCAAGCACCTCTTATAATATTCCTTTTCAAGTATGAGGTTGTATTTTTTTTTTTTCGTTCCAAGTGAGGTCGTCCATCCAATTGTGTAATATGACATACTAATTTCATCTCGAAGATAAGCAACTAGTTATGAGGGGAAAAAAAAACTAGAGTATAAAGTAACTGTTTAAAGTCTATATGGTAGTCAAGGGGAATAGAAGTGGGACAGTTTATGTACAATAATTGACAAGTTAGGTTGCCACAAATTGACAAATTTCTTAATAAATTAATGTAATATAATGATTTTGTAATTTAATATTTTAATAAAAAGAGAGTTATGTTATGGTATCATTTCAAATTATATATATATATGTATATATAGTCTAATCTTATATCATTTCAAGTTATTTAATTATTGATATTGTTAACTTATGTTATAAAGCCACTTGTCGTTACCAGTACCTTCTGATATTAATTATTGCCACCTCACTTGTTATTTTTTATATGTAGCTTGTCATTTCTGTGACACAAAATCGTGACTTGTCATTATGCTCTGTACTTTATCTTTTTTTTTTATGTGAATTTCCTAGTTGAATTTTACACTTTTCTTACTTTATTTGTTTTATATAGACCCAATTAATAGTGTTGTAATGCAATATTTTGATATACAGAGAGTTGTCATGTCTAGCTAGTATTCTCAATGATAACATTATAACTTGTCAAGAACTCTCACTTGTCATGCTGTTGTATGATATACAGTTTCATTATAACCATCGTACATCTCAATTTAATTACACAACCTCCCTTACAGATTTAATTTCATTCATAAATAATAACAATGAAAACAATTTACATTTATTTTTCAAGTAAGGTCATTCATACGTATATTTGTAATTCCTTAACTATACATTAGCCTTATCAGCTCCCAAAAATAAT